CAAAACCCAGGAAAATATGAAGTGGATAAGCCTATTTTTGGACTGCTTGGGCAATATGATCTTACTGCAGTCCAACTCCTCGTTGACAAAATATGAATGATTTGGCCTTCTTATGCCTATCATACATTCTTACAGATGGGGAAAGTCGAAATAAAGAGTCGTCCCACAAGTAATGTCGTCTAGTGTTATAGGAAATATAAGATTGCTTCATCAACAATCCCACTACAGAATGTTATATGGAAAAATACCTGGCTTTTCTTGTGATTCACGTCTGCCCTGTGACCAAAGGACACTCGTTACAATGTAACCAAGTGGTTAAAGTGTCAAGATTACACGCTGCACTCTCAGGGTTCGAGTAACGCTGGGAATGCGAAGTCGAAACTACAGTAAAAAAACACAACGGAATTTAAGTCCTGATTGTGAGAACCGTGGCGACTTTCACACGTACATGATAGTAATGCGCGCTAGAGGCTAATAGGTCAAATGTGCCAATCAAGACAAGTCAGGTCCCACCTAAATCACATTTTTTTTACTGAGATTGACAATCAAGCCAACATATGCTTGCTAGTGCAGTCGACGAAGTTACTTCTTTTGTGAATAAGTACTTTTCGAGAGAAGCAACAATGCTTGAATAAATTCTCAGGCAGCCAAGCTCGCACTAGTCGCCCGTCGGGCTTGTCTACCCCATAGACACCTCTAGCGGACCGGTGGCGCAAGGCTGGCTGGGGCTGAGCCAAAAGCGTTTGATAATTGGGCGCACATCAAGCATAAAAGTCATAAATGAAGACGCTCTTGTCAGAAGTCGAGTCCTGTCCCAGTCACGAGGGATAAATGAAACAGACATCCAAAATACCGCAGTTTTTGACATGCCCTCCTCGCCCAACCCGGCCATCATTCAAGTTGTGCTTACGTCTAACGAGGTCACTGAGCAGGTAGCCGGACAGCCGGGCCTATTGGGAAGAAGGCAAACCCACCTGCGGGGTAAGTTGAGTGAACGAATCTGTTAAATTAGCCAAGACTTTTGTGGCCGTCTCAAAGAGGGCCACGTAAAAGCACGCACAAAAAACCACTTTGGCCGACTGAACTCGTTACGAGTAGGGCTTGGGGAAGAAGAAAGAGGATACATAAATTTGTTTCCACCCGACGGTCCTAGACAGTCCGTTGAACAACTCGACGTAGTCTAAGTGACTGACGCCGTCTAACAATATTCGGTCAGGCTCGAGCCAACCGCTTTAAAGAGCCGGTGCTAGAATCTGGCAGTTGAGCCGACCACGACTGGTTCTCAGTGGTTATTGGGATCAAGGATTGCGCCAGTCACAGAATGTCAGAACAACTAAATGAGAGATAACAGGAAGAGGCTGCATTCGAATTTTGCATCTCTCAGGCTATGAAGCTTTTATTCAGCCAAAAGATTTGACGCAACTGAGTCATGCTGATAGCAAGACCAAGTTGCGAAAGTGAGATAAACCCACTTTTATACATCGAAAGAAGACTGTGACCATACCAAGAGCCGCACCATCTTGGCCTCTATATTTCGATTGATAATTGTAATTTTGATAATGTATGATGAGATGAGAAGGGATGAAATGATTTGGGAGTAGATGCGTTAAGAAAATATGAGATGGAATGAAATCAGACTAGAAAATATATGATTTACTGGTAGTCTCTAAATACTACTTATATACAAGAAATAAGAGATATAGTCGATTGTTATAGTAGAAATACTTTGGCTTCACCGACCATCTTGACACAGAATGTGATATGAGATAAGGCTTGGAGTTCCGTGAAATTCACAGCAGCATTGTGACTTAACGGTAGTCGTGAAAATGTTGCGGAGTAGTCTATGTGTCAAGGTCACTTTCACGCGTCGAATACCGGCTAAAGGTGTTTATAAGGCATATGCGAAGTCAAAGCTGCTGACCCCCATGGAGGAGAAGAACTTTGTTGTAACCAGACTCTCTGAAATGCAATCAAACCTCCAGCTATACTCATATAAATAAAATGAGTGTAAAAGAATTAATATATGATGATTTGAGAGTAGATGAGTTGAAATAAGACGCGATAAGATGAGTTGCGAGGATATGAAATGAGTAGAGATGATAGTAAACGAAATTTTGATGATAAGTTCTGATGAATTGTGATAGGAATATTTGAGTTGAGATGAGATGAGTTGATATAATAATAATGCAATGAAATGGGATGAAACGAAATTTGATGAAATTAGTTGAGATGAGTTTGGATGAGTTGAGCAAAGAGTAGAAGAGATGATATAGGGTTTAGATTAAATGAGATTAGAGGATAGGAGAGAAGAACAGATGAGAAGTGATATGATGAGAGGAAATGAAATGCGATTCGATGAGAGTACATGAGTTGATATGAGATGATAAGAGGTGAGATTAGAGGTAATTATATGGGATGTGAAGAGATGAGATGATTTGTGGGTAGATGAAATGAG